CCGTGTTAGCCCTTGGGGAGGTTGTTCCGTGTTAGCCCTTGGGGAGGTTGTTCGGCGGGGCGCGGGGATCCCTCGGAGCGGCCCCGCTCTCTCCTCCCGCCCCGCAGCACCGCGGCCCCGCCCCGCACAGCCCGGCGCTTCTTCCCGCTGCCCGGGGCTCCTGGATCCGGGGATGGAAACCATGCCTCTGAACGGGGCTCCGGCGGCGGCTGAGCTTATTTTCTACGTGAATGGAAAGAAGGTAAGTATAGCCCGGAGAAAGAGGGGATTCTGAACCCCGAGAGGCACAGATTTGCCTTCCTCAGACATGCGAGTGTAACTGAGCCCTCACACAAATCTCCAGAAGAACAGGCGTGGTTGCATCCCATTTTGGCTGGCTCTGCTGTGTTTGGGAGAGCAAGCGTGTCAAAGKGAAACGCACTTTCAGCTGGGTGTCAAACTTGGCTGGTTTGACCTCTTTTTTCATTTGAATGCGTCTGGCTTCTCATCTTTGATGGTGTCAGGTTTTCAGAGGCACAGCTGAAAGTCCTTAAGACTCCTGTGCCCAAATTTGGACTAATGACCATAGAGATAATATTACAACTTATTACATAAGTTCCAAAGCAACTATAAGGAACTAGCTGATTCTAAGTGATGAAATAAGAAATACTGCACTTGATCAATAATGTAGATATTTCTGTTGCTCTCTTTTGTCAGTTTTTTCCAGCAAGTGACAATATAAATAAAACTAGAAAAGAAATTGCTACTGCCGATAGCTTCAGAGGCTTCCTCTAGTGTTTACTTCRGTACGTCAGAGTGCCACGGAGACTCTAAAATCTGCAAATCATTAGTTAGTACTTTATGCTGTCTCTAAAGTTCTGCTGTGTTTTTATTTCTAGTGTGGACGAAGGTCAGGTCCCTCAGTATAACCTTTCACTGAGCAGCAGTTATTTTTAATACTTGCAAGGTGCCCTTACACTTYTTTTTTGGAAATGTATCTGTCTGAAAAGGAATTTCCAGAAAGAGCCGAAGCTCCCTTGTTGTGTTTGGCAATTAGTGCAGTGCAATGACAGGGAAACAGAAGAATTCTGCCTGAATTTTGAAAGGCCTTGGTTTCTTACTTAAATCTTTACTTTCTTACTGTAGATAACAGAGAAAAATGCTGATCCTGAACAAATGCTGTTGTCTTATCTTCGAAAGAGGCGTATCCTTTTTTTGTCTGTTCCCTAAAGTCACTCATGTGAAAGCCTTATTCAAGCAAAATTCTCATAAATTTTAATTCAAGATTTRATTACCAGATTAGGAAGTTGTTGTTCCTTTAAGAGAAATCAACCATACTAAAGAATGTCTTTTTCTTAATCCAGATATTCTTCAGTTGAGCTGCTGTATTTTTAACCTAGTTTCTTCAACACACAAAATTATGCCATCAGGCCCAATGAATTTGTGTGTATCTGTGTTCCTCGCCTCCCACCTTATAAAGAAGTCTAAAAACCTGGTGGTCAGTATACATAAAGCTTGACAGAATAGAAGTCTCCACATTTTGTAATAGTCTCTCTTCTAGGAAAGGGAAGATCTTGTGATGAGAACTTGAGGCTGATGGAATTTTGAGAGGCAGAAGGGCATCCTCAGTGGCTTTGGAACATTAAATTACCTTTTGTTGATTCACAGCTTCAGATAGGCCACTGTTGCAGATTCATGAACATTTCCTTCAAAGGGTCATCTTTCAGATGAGATGCAAGGTAAATATCCTGACTATAAATGGGAGAAACTGGCWTATTGGTTTTAGTGTTCCACTGGAATTTCAGATACACAACTGGTTTGCCCATTAYACATTTCTTCCTTTCCTATTTTCACTTGGGAAACTTTTTTTCACTTCCCTTTTCTGTCCCAACTTACTTCTCTTCCAAAGTAAGTCTGAAACAAGTTACCTGTTTTCTTGAGAAGAGGAWTTTGGTCATGTCATTCTTTAGCCTGAATCTTACTTTCATTGCAAATTTTATTCCAATATAGAAAGGAGTCTGATACATATGCTATGATACCAAACCGATACTGTGTTCCTWGAGTTTAGGAAAAAAAATGGTGGTTTAGGAAAAAAGGTGGTTTAGGAAGAAAAGTGGTCTCAAGAGCAGAATAAAGATCAGAATGGAACCAGATAATTATTTTCCCTAATGACAGCATTTTCAGTCCGTCTTACAGGAACAAAGTATGGCTGTGGAGGAGGTGGCTGTGGTGCCTGCACAGTGATGGTATCAACTTATGAGCCAGCTTCAAAGAAGATACGGTATCTCCAACAGAATATTTTGAAAGCAGAGAATTTTATGATTGTTGATACTATTTCCAGATAYGAAACTTTAAAAACAGACTTGCATAATTTGTACTTAATAGTAAAATAATCTAGAAGAAGGGTCACTTAAATCCAAACAGAGAATGCTGGAAAAATTACTGTGGATTCAACTATATTGTAAATTTCCTGAAGTATCWTACTTAAATGCTTGATTTACTTAGAAGTACTGACAGCCTCTGCAAGGAGGTTTTAGGAGGCATTAATTTAAGACCCTCTGGCTTGACTAGTGGAAGGTGGGTCCTACAGCATCTCTCTATGGTGGTGAATGAACTGTATCTCAGCCAAAACCAACACACTTTCATGTGATTGGTGGGAAGGGAGGGTAGACAGAAGTTTGAGTCTTACCAGCCCTTTAATACTGAACTCCATGCCTTGCATCCCACCCACAAAAAGAAAKATTTTGAAACTCAAAACCCAAGTTTCATTACGCTAAAAATTTGAATAAATTGCTTTTAAGTTGAGAAAACTTAAAAGCAATCAAATTGTAAAATGGTTACATGTCATTGTGCATTGAAGTGTTTGTTAGGTGGGTAAAAAAACTGTTCCTGTTGTCCTTTTGTACAATTGCATTACATTGGAATGCAACAAAATGAAAATGTTTRAAGTTAATGGAAGCTGAAATAAAGTAGTCAGACTCTTGAAAGGAAGCATTTCAACTGTATTAAAAAACTAAATAATTTTATTTAAATCATCAAATGCTTTGTAGAATTTTCAATTTTGGTGTGTTGTTMTTATTCTGTATGATATTTATTTCACATCAGAATTTCCTTTGGATCAGAAGTTTGATTACAAATTTGCAGCAGTAATTCTTTACTTCCTTCCAATGTCTACATCAATCTTCCCTATCTTCCTCCTCCAAAATACAGTTSACAGATTGCTTGTGGGCAAGAGAGATAAAAGGACAATTAGAAAAGACTGAAGTATTAAGGAATATGTAAATTCTATGGAACTGTCCTCATAGATATGTCTTTATACTGGGGACAAGAGACGTAGCTGGTAGGTGATTCCTTCGCATTCCAAATGTTGATAGTGGCTGCTTTGTAWGTACAAATTTGTTTTGATTGACCAAAAAATAATATTCACACTTGTTTATTAAAATRTTCATGTTCTTTATTCTCCTTTATGTTCCAAAGACACTATTCAGCCAATGCATGCTTGCTTCCCATTTGCTCCTTATACGGTGCAGCAGTGAYTACAGTGGAAGGTGTTGGAAGTACAAAAACCAGGATTCATCCAGTTCAGGTGAGAGTACAGTGTCACTGAATAAGAGGATTATTGAGTTCTTTTTTGTATGGGCTGACTTTTGTGACAGTGCTTCTAGGGGATGGGTTCATATGATGGTTGTTTTCCCTGGTAAATTRTAACAGAGGACAACATTGGGTTCTGGTGGTTGATTGATCAAGGCCAATGACACGACTCATGATGGATCTTACTTTATTACTGAGAGTTTGATCAAGTAGTTGATATGTAAGGAGTGGGTCAGGCTTTGCTTTGTTAGGGCTAATGGTACAATATCCCTTTGGCTCATGTTTTAGTGTAAAACCAAAAAAGCCAGAAGTCCATTGAAGATTAATCAGCATCTTTAGTGAGATGTGCCTGAACATCATACCCAAAATATTCTCATTTGATATTGCTTTAATTGTTTTACTTTGAAAGTCTGATTTACTATGAAAGCAACATTTTGTATGGCATCTCCCATTTAAGAGAGCATTCATTAAAATGGAGATRAGTGCTAGAAGGAGTGCTGTTTGTGGTATTTCATTTCAGGAAAGACTTGCCAAGTGCCATGGCTCCCAGTGCGGTTTCTGCACGCCTGGAATGGTGATGTCCATATACACTTTGCTAAGAAATCACCCAGAACCAACTTCAGAGCAGATGACTGCAGCTCTGGCTGGTAAATATTGTCACTKTTTAGTTTGCAGGTGTGTCCCTGAAGCATATCTTAAGGTACTTTGTGTATTTGAGTGCTTGTCTGTGAGAGTACACATGCATACATGGATGAATAAACAAATTGTGCTTCTCAGCAGAGTTGCTACTCGACGCATACCTTGTATTCCCTGTCATTCTTTTCTCCTGGAGGATGAAACATGGAGCTGTGGATTGTTTYAGGTGTTCAAAACATCCCCATATGTGTCTTTTGAAGTGCTTTAAATCAGATATGCAAAAATGATTTCGTATTGGAGCTGTATCTGAGCGTGTCCAAGGCCCCTTTATATCTGGAGCTGAGAATGTCAGAAGCCTTGCAGAACAGTGCCTTTGGAGTAGGATTAAAACAGATAAGGCAGAGAGATGCAGACTATCTTCAGTAAGAAAAGATGTGAGCATTTATTGTTGRTAAAATAAATTCTATCATCTCTTGTGCTCTAGAGTCACAGTGGAGCCAAAGACATTTCCTGTTGCTGTGTGGTGAACTTAGAGGTGTAATGTTAACTTCCTTCACCTCTAGAAGAAAAYCAGGGGGAAAGAGAACAACATTTTGAATGGATGAAGAATATTGTATGATCTCTTATTTTCCTGCATACTGAGCTGTAGCCAGCATTCACTCTAGTGCAAATCTCAAGTATTTCATACTCCCCTTTAAACAACAGCATTTTTTGTCAGGAGCTGCAGCATTCTAAGTCTTGTAACACTGTTCTTTTTTGTCTTTGTGAGAGCTGACACTTCTTGAGCTTCAAAATCACAAGGCTCACATAAAGCCATGACATTCTAAAGCCACGTGCTTTAGAGCAAAGCTTTTTCTGACTGATCTCCTTTCTTCAGGTAACTTGTGCCGCTGTACTGGATACAGGCCAATCTTAGATGCCTGTAAAACCTTCTGTAAGGTAAGAAGTAGTGGCAGTAGGATKACTAGATTGGGCCCATCAGTGTATATCATATACAAGCCATCAAGATTTWCATTAAGATCATCACTTCCCTCTGTTAAGAGATGTCATTCTGAGTAAATGGCCTAACCTATTACAAAATTGATTGACACAAATGAACATGGTGTTATTAAACTTCATCTAGAACTTTATTGAAATATAGACTCACCCTAATCAGCTTTAACTCATAGCCATTCTGAGCAGTATTTCACTAATAGGATATTCSTGTTTTAGGAATCCAGTTGTTGTCAAAGGAAAGCAAATGGAAAGTGTTGCTTGGACCAGGAAGATGATTTATTTGTCAATGAAGAAAAGGTAAAGTTTTAAGTATATTACTTACCCTACTTAATTATAAAACATAGAGAAAGAATACTGCATATATTATTTGATCAGTATTTTATTATTCCTCACAAGAAATGTGGAAATATTTTAAAAAATGGAAGATTCTATGTGTATATTTGTATGGAGAGGCAGTGATGTGTCAGATTATTGGTACAAGATAGTTTGGATCTTCAGAGCTGAGATCTGAACAGCTGTTCAGGTTCAGTAATATTAATAGTCTCAGCTCTACCCATACAGTGGGAATTACATTGTGCAAGACATTAGGGCAAATGTGAAATTTGCTTAAATCATTGATTAGTGATGCTCCAAGTCTAAGCACTGATCTCTTAGGAAAACTGCTGACTTGAGTTTGAAGAATTGATACACTCTTAAAAATCAGAGCTATGATTGTGATTTTATGTGAAACCTCTTATCCATACAAAYATTTTTCTTTGTTCTCAATTTTCTTTCAATAGTGTCTTCTCTACTTCTTTGGGTGTTGAGTGCTTTAGATTGGCATGAAACCACTTTTTTACAGTAGAACTACAGGAAGTCTGTGCTTTGTCCTTCAGTTGCTTGCTTCTGTACTGTTATTTGTGTTAGCAGTAAAATTTAAGAAAATGTTATGAACACTTCTTTCACCTCAGCACCTCCAAATGATGCATGATGATTTAAAAACAAATCCAAATGACAATGAAATTACTAATTTTTTACTGACTTTGGTGTGAGTCTCCTGGTTTAGTTTTGCTTTTGCTTCTGTTGTTGTTGTATAAAATTAATGATGAGAGAAAATTCTTGGTCTTYTCTTCTTTTTAAGGTCTCCACCAGCCTGTTTTCAACAGATGAATTCCAGCCCTTAGATTCCACCCAGGAGCTTATATTCCCTCCAGAACTAATGGTAACTTTTGCTGTTTATAGACTATTCTTAAGCTCTGTTCCAAATTAATTCTCGAGTCCTGCTTAGCAGTAATTCATCCAAAGAAATGTCAAAACTTTTTAACGTCAAACCATTATTATCTCCTTTTTGGTTTTTTGTCCATTAAGCTTATTGAATATACACATACCAAAAAAAAATCATATTGGGAAAATGAAGCTGCAAAGTTGGGTGAGAAGACAAGCAACCTAAACTGGGTTTTTCAGTCCAGCACCTGAAGATACAAATACTTTGCAGCARACTGAATGACAAACACTTTTTAACATTGGCCAAACAATTTTGTGGCTCAATAGTTTTGTTAGTCTTGTCTCAGACAATCCCAGTGCGTAAGGTATGCCAAAGATATAAACAGCTGGAATGGGAAGTGTTGGACATCCTTAATTATTCATTGCAGTATTTGCCCTAGAAAAWCTGAAAGCTGTTTGCTTTAGATTATTGTCAGTCTAGAGATTCAAAACCAAATTCTCTGTRGTCAGCTGTCTGCTTCTGGAGAAAGGTTGATAACTGTAGGATGGGAGTTCTTGACTGTGTATTTGTACCAGCACAGTTCACAAGCTATTTCCAAGTGAGCAGTGAACAGTGCTAGAACAGCCAGAGACACTTAAGTGCATTCATAATCTAGAAAGGGATGCTGCTGTCAGTGTCATTGGTGACTTTCTAACAAGTTAAGTGGGCAAACACCTCCCTAAGTATTTTTTATCACTTTTCTAACAGTTTTAGCAATTGCAGGATCTATTTCTACATCTTTTGCTTGGGGACTATTTATTATCAGTCTTGTTTATTAGCCCATTGGAATTACTTGAAGACATTTGACACACATGGGCTAGAATTTCACAATGGTGCAAAGAGCCAGCTTAACATTTTTGTGCTGTTTTTGTCCAGTTTTAAGGAATTATGTAGAACTCCTGTTTTTTAACAACATTTGTGACTTTCAATCTGGTGTCTGTTAGGTATCACACTTGTCTATATGTCTAAATATTTAAATCTGCCATGTTTCTCCATCAGAGAATGGCAGAAAATCAACCAAAAAGAACTCTGGTTTTTCGTGGGGAGCGCGTGATGTGGATTTCTCCTGTAAGCTTGGATGARCTACTGGATCTGAAATCTGCCCACCCTAAAGCACCTCTTGTWGTTGGGAACACCAGTGTGGGTATGTATGTGATCAGAATGGCTCATGTCTCTCTAGTTCCAGTGTGCAGGAGAGGAGTGAGGTTACATTTATCACTCTTTTTGCATCTTCATTCTTAAGCTTACATTGAACTGTGTTGGAGTTGTCATTATGGAAAASCCTTTTGTCTAAGTCTATTCCTGTCTTGTAGGACCTGAGATGAAATTTAGAGGTGTGCTGSATCCAGTTCTTATTGCTCCTGCAAGGATCCCAGATCTGAATGTGCTGAAATACACAGATGATGGTCAGTACACTTTACTTTGTTCAGAAATAGTAGATTTTTTTTTGCAGTAAAGAATGCTGTACCATTCTGTGGTGCTGAAGGTATGAAGTGCTACGCAACACATTCCTAAGCAGTTTTAAATACACAAAAWATATTATTGCTTTGCTTAATTCAAGTCCATTAAATTTATGTATATTTTCATTTATATTTTGATTGAATCCCAGTATTCATTAAAATATTCATGTGTTATGTAAATAATGTTTTTAATAGAAAGAAACTATGTACCATTTAAAAAAAAATCTTACAAGATTAAGTATAATCTTACAATAAAAACCATCTCAAATAAATGCACATAAGTTGTCTTTCCAGTGGGAGAAAGAATACTATCTTTATTGTTAGGACTGTCCYGGCTTTTGTTGCCAATTGCTACCTACCCACACCTTAGGAGAATAACTTGAATACTTCACCTTTTATCTGCCTATAGAACACATAGAGCTGTCCTATCTCTACAGTCTGAGCACTCTTTAAAACCCAGGCAATAAAGCAATGCACACATGACACTTTCATAATCTTTTGGTTCCAGGATTAACTCTGGGAGCTGCCTGCAGCCTCTCTCTAGTGAAAGAAGTCTTGAAAAATGCAATCACAGAATTCCCTGAAGAGAAGACTGGGGTTTTCCGTGCTGTTTTGCAGCAATTAAGAACTCTGGGAGGAGAACAGATAAGAAATGTTGCTGTATGTTGTGAATTACTTGCAATTACAATTTGAAAAAATTGTAACAAATGGTGAAATTGGTCCTGACCACATGTAAAACTTGCAATTTTGATTTTGCCATGAGTTTTCTATCAATGCTTCTTTTTTGAGCTTTTAATATGTATAAATGTACATATAGTCTGCGTGTCATTGTCACTTACCTTTCTCTATAACCTTTATATTTTTATGTTAACATAAATTTCTTTCTTTTTTTCAAGTCATTTGGTGGAAACATCATAAGTAGAAAACCAACTTCAGACTTGAATCCTGTTCTGGCAGCCAGCAACTGCATGCTCAATTTGGCTTCAAGAGGTAAGAGGAGATAGTCTGTGTCTGTATTGCCAGAGGTGCCAGAACCTATTGTATGGAGGAAGGGGAAATAAGAACCAGTAAGGGTTTATTAAAGAACCCTTTTCCCACACTTATACAAGATCACATCTGCAAGACAAGCAATTTGCAAACAAAGTACACATCAGATATTCTCATGCAAGGGTAAGCATTCAGACCAACTAGATTACACTAGTACTTCTGTGGGCACCAAATGAGTATAAGGACTCATAAAACCTCACAATCTGAATAGCTGTGTACTACCTGTTCATGTCTGTGGGGTTTTTTTTGTTGTTTTTTTTGGTTTTTTTGGTTTGGTTTTTTTTTAATGTTATTTATGTTTTGCCCTGGTTTAAAATCAGTCTCTAATTGATGTTTTGCCCTGGTTTAAAATCAGTCTCTGCCCCTGAGAAGAACTCTGGCTTCTCATTCCTCAGAAGTGCTCACTTCTGATACAGGAGCCCAAATCCAGCACTTTTTCCCACGCTTATTTCTTCAGTCTCTTTTCATCACTGTGTATATATTTCCCTCTACCTGCTTCTTTTCTTGTGCCCTTCCTTTGGAAGGCTGATGAAATTATTGGTGAACATGTGCTGTCTAGTGGCTTAGAATTGTGTGCTCTCCCTTTTAGGTGGCTTATGTCCTTTTTGCCCTTGATCCAGAGTGCACCTTACCATTTCAGACCATGTAATACTCCACTCAATACCCTGAAATACATTCTTTTTAAGGATTATTTCTGAGGAAGGATTTCTTGGAACAGATAAACAAAAACTTCCACGTTTTTCTGTTTCACAGAAATCACGCTGTGTGATTTCCATGGCTTCTTCCAGCATGGTTTGGCATTGAGAGAGAAAATACCTGTGAGGTTATTGTTCTGATAAATGGAAGTGCTAACATTTGCATATTCTTACTCAGCAGTTCTAGTGATGTGCCTCCTTATTTGAGTGATAGTTAGGACCTGTTAACGTGGCAGAACTTGGCTGCTGGGAGAGGGTTTTAGGCAAGTGTTTTTCACAAGTGTTTAACACTGTTCTCTACCAAATGACAGTCAGTGAAATATAGAAAAAGTGGATTGCTCAAGAAAAGGAGATTGCAGAAGCACTATTAGTTGTTAGTATTTATCTTAGATCACCGTGTAAGAGAAAATGCACCTTCCTACATCCTGGTAGGCTCTCAGGTGAAGATTGGACAATAATCTTAATGTGTGTAAGCCAAGTGTATCCTGGATGGAATTACTGCTATTCCTAACTGTTCTTTTTCAGATTCATGCTTCAGCAAAATAAAACTCCTTTACTAACRTTTTGTTGTCACATTAGTTATGTTTGAGGAGTGCAATTCCAATGCTAAATTATATTCTAGGATGAACAGGTTATAGTGTCATCATCAAACATAATATGAGAAACATGAAGAGAATAATGCTGTGAAATAGCTGGTTGTGAAGTATCATGTTCATTGAGTCTGAGGAGAATTTCAGTAGAGGAACCCTTTACAAGAAGCACAGAAGATTATCTTGTTATAGAAAGTCTTGGGATATGTCAAGGCTACTGCAAGATAAATAGTGTTTAATAAACACTTTAATTACTAAATCCTTTTATTTACAATTGTGTTTGATCCCATAAATAGCATGTGAAAAGTTCTGAAGACAAGTGAAAAAACCACTTTTACGTCATCAACCAAACACACAYGGTCAAGTTCCACACTCTTGAGTCACTGTTGATTTCCATTTGTACAACATTCATGCTTCTGTGATCTTGCAAAACAAAATGCTACWTGACAGTTGTGTTACTGGCACAGTTGCAGTCCTACCAACAAAATCCCTTGAACCAGTGTAGGTTGTTTAATTAATACAATTTATTATATATTTTTTAAATATTTCATTTCTGGAAGGTCTGCTAGCTTAACTGTGCAATGATATTGGCAAATCTGATGTAGAATAAATGAAGTTTTAAGTGTTCAAAGTGCTCTTAGAGATTTCACTTCCTCGCAGAATTTTGTCATCTTCTTTTCTGGAAAATTTAACTTTTACAATATATATCACAGAATAATAAATATAGTCACTTTATAATAAAATATCAAAAAGAGAAAGGAAAAAGCAATAGCATTTATTTCTTTCTGGACTCCTGGAAGTGTTCAGAATCTCAGGGGAAAACAAAAAAAGAAGTAAACCTAAGACCCAAACAACAAAAAAMCCCAACTCCCTAATAATTTTTTACTTTGCACCAGTTCTTTACTGCTCAGTTTTCTTCCTCATTTTTTCTGTTTCAGAATGAAAGCAGCAGCTGCAGAGTTTTGTAATAGATTGACAGGAGTGAGGGTGGGATCATCATGGCAGTATTGGAAGGGAGCATTACAGAATGGGGACTAAGCTCTGGGTACTTTTTTAGGAATCTGGAATTAGGATGTTATGGAAGATGGAGCAACCATTTGAAATTATATCATTGGTAATTTTTTATGTAAGATCTGTAGAGGTTATTTACTCAGGAAGGCAGCAAGATATRCCACTTAAAATATTATTGATATGTGCTAGTTACACAATTGTATGGAATTTTCTGGATTTGGGATTTTTATTTTTTTTTTTAGGACAAAAGCGACAGATTCCTGTGAGTGATATTTTTGCAGATGGAGTTGGTAACAATACCATTACACCAGAAGAAATCTTAGTCTCTATCCACATTCCCCATTCTAGGAAGGTAAGTTACTAGTTTGTTTAGATTTGCTTTATGCAGAGTTAAAGACTGTGAAATAAAGAGCAGGAGGGGGCATAATCCCTGTTTAAACTAGCACTATTACTGCTCACTTTCTGAATTYCTTGCATTTATTCATTTCAGTGCCATACTATCTCCCAATTTCAGCCAAAAAAAAACAATTCAGCCGGTAGCTGGTAATGCTACATAAAGAGAAATATTCAGACAAAAGTTTGCCCTAAAATTATGAGGGCAATTGCAATTATCTAGATCCCTTACAGGTAGGGTTCTAGGACCAAAGCAGGCTGCTCACCCATGATATGACTGGCATCAAGTAGGTAAAGCACTTCCTTCTCTTGAGGATTTTTCTTTAAAATGGGATAAGATTGGATGTGTGTGTGGTGGTTCCAAAAAAGTTTCTGAACTGAATAATAGTCTTTAACTCATACTGGGTTTGCAAGAGTGGACATGGGATCTTATAAGAGAATTGTGGGTCATTTTATCTGAATACTGAAGTTTGGCAATACTTTGAAGCCTCTCAGTTTATTGTCTTTTTATAAATACAATTCTACTCCACAAGATCCCYGTCTTTCAGCTATCTACATGAAAAGTCTGGGTCATCTGAACTGTGTAGGTAATGGAGGATTGGGTTTGAGTTTCTAGAAAATCAAAGATGGTAAAGCTACTGAAAGGTCCAGAGAATAAAGTGCATCATCTTGGATGCTCAGGAAGTTTAATCTGTGCTCTTCATKTTTTGTTCTCTTGCTTCCCATAGTGCAGTAACAAGTTCTGTTTTCAGATACTTACATGTCTGTGCTTCTGTCTGATCTTGCTCAGGGAGAGTATGTCTCTGCATTTCGACATGCACCAAGACGGGAAAATGCTCTTCCAATAACCAATGCTGGAATGAGAGTCCTTTTTGAAGAAGGTACAGACATTATAAAGGATTTAAGCATTTTCTATGGAGGTGCTGGCTTGACAACAGTCTGTGCAAAACAAACCTGTGGGACACTTATTGGAAGGTAAAATTTCTCTGTTTTGYCTGTGTCTCTGAATAAATGGACTTTGAAAGGTTGGGTTCATGCTCCTTGGGACATAAAAGTACAGAAAGATTTCATTTGCCTGACTGATGCCTCACATGTTCAAGTGAATGATCAAGCCTTAATGATGACTTTTCAGGTTTGTTACATTTTGGAGTTTGCACATGAAGTGAATTAAACAGAGAGATAAGAGAGATRAGCTGTGAAACAGGTGGATGAGGTATACATCAGTCAGTTGTGCAGCTAAACCCAAGTATTGGTAAATTATACACTATCTCGTACATTTGAGAATGCCCTCATATTGGTGTTCTTGAGTCCTTCAGCTTGTCTCTAACAGATACAAAGTTTGAGAACTTTAGATGTGCCCAATAAAGTCAGAGGCACAAGTCTTCACCTTTTCAATAGCTCTTTGTCTACAAGGTYCCAATAATCTCTGGAATTAGTCCCTGATTTTCCCTCCCAGTCTGGAGCATCTTTCCATGTTTTGGAAGAAAAAAAATGCAAATAATTCAAGCAATATAAAAACAGTAAACAAAGCCCCACTGGCCTGTTTTGCCATTTTATGTGCAACTGTTTGCATTAATTGAAGTGCATGTTACTTTGTATCTATATCTTTATCTACTCTTCTTCAAATATGGGGTGRTATCTTCAATATGGTGAGAATCTGTAAGACTGATAAACCAGTTTTAATAGTTTACTAGTGTTTGTTTAATTATTTATTTGTTTATTTTAAAAATGCTGGCATAACACTTAGTTCTGTTTACTTATGGGAGCTCAGTTCTGTGAGCCATATTTATCTACACCATTTTAAAAACTGCAGACATTATTAGAATCAATATTTTGGCTTCATTGTGAGCAGGATTATGTCTGGTCCATGGTACACACATATTACTGCAATTTGTATTTATTTTTTATTAGTCCTGGTCTGATTGTATCTATTATTCTTGCTAACAGACACTGGAATGAACAGATGTTGGATGAAGCATGCAGACTAGTTCTTAAAGAAATTGCCTTTTCAGGATCAGCTGGTGGTGAAAATGTAGAYTATAAGAAAACTTTGATGGTCAGTTTCTTCTACAGATTTTTCCTGGAAGTATCACAGGCATTGGAGACAATGGTAAATTAGTTCATAGAATCATAAAATCATAGAATATACTGAGTTAGAAGGGACCCATCAGGATCTTTGAGTCCCACTKGTGGCCCTGCACAGGACACCACAGGAGTTCCACTGTGTGCCTGAGAGCATTGGCCAAATGCATTTTGAGCTCAGGCTAGGTCTGTGACACTTCTCTGGGGAGCTTGYTCCAGTGCTCAGACATTCTCTGGGTGAAAAATCTCTTCCTGATATCCAACCTAAAGCTCTCCCCACTTTGCTGCAGGCCATTTCCTCGATCCTGTCACTGGGTAGCAGAGTGAAGAGGCCAGTACTTGTATACCTTCTTGTATTAGTTGTTGACTGGGAGATGAGGGCACAAAAATTCCACTTACCAGCACATTCTAGGTGTAATTTACTTTTTTTGTGTGATGAGTATGTTCTTACATGGAAAAATATTCCTTTTACTTTTTCATTCTGTGTTACCTTGAGYTCTTTCCTCTAATTGCCATTACTAGGTAATTGGTTATTACCAGGAGTGATTCTGTGCCAGTTTTGATTAGATCTCAAAACAAAGCTCCTCTGCCTATCCCTACTTTATGTTGCTTACTTTAAAAAGCATATTTGTTGAATCCAGTATATTTTAAAATATTATTTAGTGAAATCTAAAAATTCTACATTGTTTTCYAGTTGTCATTTTAGAGCCCTTCTAGTTTGAGCCTGGAAAGAATTTCCTGTATAAAGACTTCGCATTTGATTTTGGTTGTTGGCTTTTTTAATTGGAATGTTCAAAACATGAGTTTTAGTAGTAAYTGACTTCCTTTTCAGGATCCTTGCCACTATCATGGCATACCTATGGAATATAGGAGTGTCCTACAAGATTTCAAAACCAGAATGCCCCAGAGTATCCAAATATACCAGGCAAGTRATTTCATTCTGAYATGGTTTTGTGCTTTATAAGACTTRKCAAATAGTYATGGTTCAAGCATGACCCTTGGKGTGAAGCTCAGGTACAGATGTTCCTAAGGACTGGAAGCAAGAGGCTTCTAGTGGTTGATTTTAACTGTATCTCAACTGGAGAATCCTGGTTTGTAAAAATAGATTGCCAGGTATACTCACTTCTTTTATACAGATCTTTAAAGATAAATATGCTTAAGCAAACTCCATTGTCAGTCTGCTTTAATTAGTGTATTGCAGTGTGCAGCCCAATTAGAAAGAAATTAGAAGAAAACAAAAAAGGCTGAAAAGCCCAGGCATAGCACATATATACTATAGTATAGCTATAGTAGTGTTGTCTCAAGATCTCAGAGGGCTCTTAGGTCTTACTATAGATTTTGGAATCAAGATGGAGAATGATGGTTGTCTGCTCAAATTAAGATGAGTATGTTGTCCTAAGTCAACAGTAGAGAGCAACAAAGGACATGTTTTGTATTTTCTGAGCTCACCTGTATAAATAGATCATGGTGGGAACACCCACAAGGATTTTTTTTATATTTTGGCACCCTCAATACACAAATCAAAATATCCAGCATTTGAAAACGTAAAGGAAAATCAAATGAAATATAGGTAAATATTTTTTCTTTTAATTGTTGGATATTCCCTAGAAAAACACTTTAGCTTTAAATACTTTTAATTTTTTCAAGTTGTTATCCTCAGTTTCCTTCTGAGCTATTATTATTCTTACTAAATAGAAAAAAAAAAGTCTACAGGCAATAAGAGGGGCCAGGATCAAGGGGCCTATTCCTTTGTGACTTTTCCCCAATTTATTYCCCATCTGTAATAAAGTGACTAAACAAGAGAAATTGGAAAAATTTGTTACTCAGATCAATTGGCACTGAGCAACAGAAATTTGGAAACTCAGAAAATCTGAGTTTTTAATCTTTCAATTTCTGTCTAGATTTTGTAAGGCCCTATTTTTTGTCTGCACCCCTTCATTTGAACATTATTAAGCTTTTAAAATTAAGGGGAAAAAAGGRTGCATATCCTGAAAACTAAATGCCTTGTCATTCTGTTGTAGAAAAGTTGAAGTGTTTTGGCTAAGACTTCGATTTGAGGAACTTTAGACAGTCAAGTGAAGAGTGTTTGTTCTTGACTTTGTGCCAATAGCAGACAGTGTGCCAGAAARTGCAGGAGGTAGAAATGTGTAGCCAGAACATTTGTGTGCTGGAAGYTTTAGAAGTAAAAAACATTTTAAGTTGTAAGCAATTAACTAATTCTAAATGTAGAAAAAGAAAAAGCATGAATATTGACCCGAAAATTGGAGAAGTGTTCTGGAAGTTGGCAAAAATTGGTTATGTGGCATATTTAACTGACAACACCAAATTAATTTTCAAAAAAAATTAGCAAAGTAAGATTAATAAAACACTAAATTCATACACAAAGTGCAAGGMAATAATTGGGAAGAAAATATTTAAACAACATTTTCTCACTGATTTACACAGATCAGTGAAGAAGACAAATCCCAGAAATCATTGCAAATAGCTCACAGTACACTACCAGACACTGATAACATTCAGAGCAGAATCTTATGACAATAATTCAGAAAATTATCTAAGTTACATGACACTGCTTAGAAAGGGAGGAAACTGTCCTTCTGAAAAAGTGCTGKGTTTGTCTCTTTGATGTAAATAATTAAGGAAAAAAATCCAAGTGAACGAACCTGTGCAGCAYTCTCAGAAGGGTCTTTAAGAGGAGAGGGGAAAGAAATTCCCAGGAGCAGCAGTCACATCCTGCAGCCACATCTCTTTCCATGTTGATGATAGTGTGAGCAGTTGTTTGTTCATCTGTTTTTCTGATTACTGTAAGAATAACAGGACTGTTCTTTTTTTAACAGTTTGGGGGTGGTGGGTGTGTGTTTTTGTGTAGGATGTAGAGCCGAGTCAGTCTCCCCTGGACCCTGTGGGACGGCCCATTATGCACCAGTCTGCCATACAGCACGCCACTGGTGAAGCAGTCTACATTGATGACCTTCCTTCTGTGGATGGGGAGCTTTTCCTGGCTGTGGTCACCAGTTCCAGAGCTCATGCTAAGATTGTGTAAGTGTTCACAGTGTATCTGGAGGAAATGTTATCATGAATTGCTGTCTGAGATTGGTAGGGAGACTAATGAGTTGTGTGTGTACAGAACTGCATGCCTAATACCTGCAGGTTGGGAGCAGTATTATTGTACTAATAGAAGCATTTATTTCGATTCAAGTGTCTCACCCCTTTTTACTGAACTGTTTCTGGTCCATAAGCCAGCCTAGAGCTAGCCTAACTACCTCAAAAATTGCTCAGCTGTGCAGTGCAAACAAAGATCAAAATTCAGTTGTACCAACACTGCTTTGAAACCTCAGTTCTACAATGAAAGAGGAAAATTATTCAAAGYGTAGGAAATAGTATTGCAACATTGCAGCATCAAGGTAGCAAAGCTTATAGGAGAGGAAGGTGGAGAAGAGGATTTTATTTTGTAAGAAAAATGCTTTTATGCTGCTAAGTACACCTATTCTAGCAGTTTGTTCAGCATTCAGACACCAAGGCATATTCACGTGATCTACTCAGGATTAGTTGTTAAGACAGACAGGACTGGGGCTTCTGGCTACAGAGTCTTTGTCATATTTCTGGGCTTGTTCTTAGGTCAGTGTTAGTATGCTGGGTTTGGAAGCCTTTTCTTGGTCCCCCCACAGACCTGGCATCACCCACATTTCTCTGAGTCAGTAGGATCTATCCAGTCTCTTTTGTCTTCTGMTCTGGGTGTCCAGAGGAGATGCCTGTACATGTCCTGGGATGTGATCACCTGCTAAAGTAGGTGCTATTGATACATGCCATTCTTACAGATCACCTGCTGTTCTTGTGATCCTTCTTTACCYAGATATTCCCCTTTATACTGGTCTTGTCATTTATTTTATATCTCTCTACATGAATCCTTCATATGAAGATGCATATTTGTATATTTCAATATATGTGTAGGCTGTGAGGTCTTAGAAAGTTGCAGTTGTAGCATCATAATTGTGCAGTGATTTTTATTAAACCAATGTAGCTCAGGCAGTCAAATGGACCAATTATTTTCCTGTTACATAAAAGGATTTCCTAGAAATTAAGCAGGTTAGTAGAATCTTAAATTGTCTTYTACCTTAACTTGTCCACATGCCAGAGACAGAAAGAAAAGATGTGTGTGAGCCTACAAGCAGATCTGGGTAGTACAAGAAATATACCTGTGTATTGTGTTCCCTTCCTCTATGAACAGTTTGTAAAACTATTGAATTATACTTCTCTCTTCCCATATCCCAATCAGATCTATTGATACATCAGAGGCTCTGAAAGGAGYGGGTGTGTTCGATGTCATAACAGCTCATGATGTGCCAGCTGCAAATGAGTTTTACTTTTCTCATGATCCAGAGATTGTATTTGCAAGAAACGAGGTATAACTACAACCTTTTTGTAAYTGATTTTAATTTTAACTGTTTATTCCTCCAGCCTTTTGTCTTCCCTGTATTCATTTCTGAATACTGTATTTTCCTTGATGCTCTAGTTATACTGCATTTTTATAATTTGTTAACTTCATGGATGATCTAAAAATAAAAAAGTCCTAAATCAAAGAAAACTTCCAAGAAGAAATCATGAATAGTGGTTATGTAAAAGAAGAATATAAAGAGCACATAAGGGAATTGTTTGAATCCACCATCCTATTAGKTGATATGTATTTTACAGGTGATTTGTGTGGGTCAGATTGTCTGTGCTGTGGTCGCAGATTCAGATGTTCATGCCAAACAAGCAGCTGCAAAAGTGAAGATTGAGTATGAAATGCTGGAACCAGTAATTTTAACAATCGAGGTACTAATCATTTTTTCTACTTTTTTATTGTTTTATCTATTTAATGAATGGAAGCGGCAGTTCACACTCTTCAGTTACTTTTTAAATAAGATTTTTAAGGCAACAGGGTAAATATTAACATCCAATTAACCAGTATGAGTATCTCCCTATAAATCAATTTTTAACCTTTTCTCTAATTTTGATCATTTGTGATAGATAGGCAACAGTTTCAAAATTATGAAATTCTGGTTTCACAAGTTTCACCATAATAAACWTTAGAATGTAAAAAAAAATAACTCTCTTAATGTTCCCAGTGAGAAAAAGGCAATGAGCATGCTGGTTTCTAATTTTCTGGTAGCTACTAACTCACCAGTCAGCACCTGTTTARTGGCTAACAGCCACTAAATTATTATCTCTAGCATTTTTATCTGTTGTCTAGCTTGCAAGGTAGGCTAGACGAGTAGGAATTGTTAGGGGAATGTAAAGGAAAGGTGTTAGGGATATACAACATTTTAGAAATCTAATGTGRGAATCACAGGGAGTATGGATTTACCCTGGATTAAAGAGAGTAGAAATAGGGAACAAAGGGCAYACTTGCAGGGAACCAGCATTTGTTCTGGTAGTCAGTTTACAGCTTGTTTTAATAAGCTCGTGTGTGGTCTAATGAAACAGTCTCTCTGATGGGAAAATAGAAGAAGTCTCTTCTTAAAGACTGGCCAATTTATTAACATTTCATTAGAATTGAAACTCCAATGAACAAACTCAACAATGACAGTAAAGTGATGAAATACAGTTTTTGATTGACTTTGGTTGCTGTTGGTTCCAGTCTCTGAAAACAATGGTGTTGTCCTGAGACTAAAATACTGCAACAACCTGAGAATCTTAAAAATACTTTAAAACCCCCTATTTCTATTTTTCTCTGTTGCAGGAAGCTATAAAGCACAATTCGTTCTTTGAGCCAAAAAGAAAATTAGAACAAGGAAATGTTGATGAAGCATTTGAAAATGTTGATAATATGATTGAAGGTAAACTGCAGAAATTTTTGGTTGTCAGTATTTGGCTGTCTGCTCTTCAAGTCCCAGTTTTATGTTTTTCCCATATAGTCAGTAGGACTGAGAAAACTCTTGGGCACTCTTGGGAACCTAGTGTATTGTTATTCTGCTCCTACATTCAAGCTTTTTGCATCATCTGTTCTTTAAAAAAGTTACAGAATAATTAGGTTGGAAGGGAGTCTTCTAGTCTAACCTCCTGCTTAAACCAGGTCTGGTTAGAGCAGGTTATTAAGGGCCATGTCCAGCCATGTTTTAATATCTCCACATATGGAGATTATGCAACATCTGTAGGCACCTCTTCCAGTGTTACACTGCTTTCATGCTGATTTGGATTTTTTTTCATATATCTATCTGGAATTTCTTGTGTTTGTTGCCTCTTATCCTTCCATTGTGCATCTCTGAGAATAGTCTGGCTTGCTCTAGTCTACATCCTCTCATCAGGTAGTTGTAGACAGCAGTAAGATCTCTTCTCAAACCTTTTCTTCTTATGGATGAATAAGTCCAGTTTTCTCAGCCTCCTGTGGTTCAGCCTGCTGATGATCTTGGTGGCCCTCTTCTTGATCTGGTACAGAATGTGCATGCTTTGTTTAATTTACCTATGTTTTATTTATTGTTGTCACCACTTGTGAGCAATAGTGTCCTGCTTTTAATCCAGTTTGTTGATTCTGTTGGGACAATTTCATCTTACAAGGATTTTGATTTGTGTATTTATTTTAGATACTGCTCTTTCACTCAAGACACATGGGAGGATTTGACACTGATTGCCATCATTTACATGGTGATGGGCTGTTTGTTCTTCTCTGATTCATTTCTTCTGTCCTTTTCCCTCAGTAACACTTGTGTTTTTCTCATTGGATCAGGGGAGATTTGCATTGGGGGGCAGAAACACTTTTACATGGAGACTCAGAGTATTCTTGCTGTTCCAAAAGGAGAGGATAAAGAAATGGATATGTTTGTGTCAACACAGCATCCAGCAATTATTCAGGTAATGCAGAGCATTCTCAGAGAAGGTGTTTGTACTTGTGACAATAGAGCTTTTAAGGTTTGGTTTACAAATCTGCATGAAGCCAYAGAAACATGAAATTGCCCATCTGGACTGTCCAGAAACAGCTGCTTTGTAGTATTGCTGAATTCTGATAAACACTGAGCACTAGACTGTCAGGATGAACAGTTCATCCTGTTCATCTCCTTTGAACAAAGTACTTCATACCCGACTATGGTAGCCATGAAAAACTCCCTGTTGAGTGCTAAGACTCCTCCATCTCTGTTAGCTTTGCATTGGAATGAGGAGCAATCAGTTCCCTTCAGAGTCAGAACCTGTGGAGAGTGTGATCAAGTCTAACAGCTGCAGGTGAGAGTGCAACTCCATGCAACAGTCTCATAATCATATATTGGTTTGTATTTTAAGGAACTTTTAAAGATTATTTAATTCAACACCCTTACCGTGGGCAGGATTATCTTTCTCTGGATCAAATTTCTCAAAGTTCCATCCAACATGCCCTTAAAGGCTCCTAGTTSTGTCCAMAAYTTCTCTGGGCAACCTGTTTCAKTGYCTCACCACCCTTATTGTAAGAATTTCCTTCTCATGTCTAATCTAAACATGCCCTCTTTTCGTTTAAAACCGTGGCCCCTTGTCCTGTCAATACAACCTTTGCAAAAAAAGTTCTTGCTCTGTTTTTTGTAAACCCCCTTTATATTTTGAAAGGCCACAGTTAAATCTCCCTGGAGCTGTTTTCTCCTGGCTGAACAACTCCAAGTCTCTCAATCTTTCATAGYAGAGGTGTTTTWGCCCTCTGATCATTGTCACRATGGTAAATGACAAARCAAAGCTGCCAYAGTGWGTGKCCTACATAGCAATAGCCACAGTGCATTGAAACTTATGGTATTTCACATTCATCACTGGTGTCTTGTGTACAAAGCCCAGTTCAGCTCCTTTTGTAATTTCCATTATTATTATATTGCCCGTAGCCATGTAATGTGAAGAACTTTGTTTCAGAAAATGATTTAAAGCAAAAGCATTCCTGACACTAGCAAGACCTTAGATTATTTAAAAAATTAAATAGTTTTATTTTGAATTTTTTAAAAAAAATATTATCTTAGTAACAAAAATAATGAAAAATGTATACTAAAAGCAGTTTTTATTATGCCTGAAGCTTCTTACTGTTTAGATAATGTAATCCAAGGGTATTATTCTTCACATCAGCCAATGGCCCTTTCACAGTCTCCATGGTAAAGATTTTAAATACGAGCACTGCTGAGAGTTTCTTGTTACTCTTTCTTTGCTTTTTAACCTCAGGTAAAGGAAAAATTACATTCATCTGATAGAAGAATAGACACATCTATGGAACCCTTTTCTAGAAAAGGTTTCTGTTTCAGAAACWAACTTTTAGGCTTAGTTTGAGTTGGCATAAAATATTAAAACTTTTTTTACAGGAGATTGTGGCTGCGAGTTTAGGTGTTCCAGCCAACAGGATCATGTGCCATGTTAAACGAGTTGGGGGGGCTTTTGGTGGRAAAATCCTGAAAACTGGCTTGCTGGCATCAGTGGCTGCAGTGGCAGCAAACAAGTAAGTGCAGTATGTGAGTACTGGGATATGAAAAGAAAATGAGGCAAACAAGATTTCCATTTTGGCTAAAATGCTTTCTCCTTTCCCAAAGCTGCTAGTCAGAAAGTCATGTAATCCTGACTTACCATTTTCTAAGCCTGTTCAGTGGATTTAATTGTTTTATTTTGTTGGACTATTTATGTTAAGCAGCTCTAGGCTCAAGTAAATTAATGCATTTCAARAAGCTGGTATTAGTATAAGCTGGAAATACTCAAAAGGACCAGTCCCTAGTTATTGAGACTTTGTACATGCATTCAAACTTGACATTAACCATCCAGATGTGAACTGCTCACACAGCATGATGCAGAAGGAAGAGTTCATGCATGGAATTGCTTTTAAGAACAAGCAGTTCTAGCTCAGTCTTTTAACATCTCTCAGTCAAAATTAGCTCAAATCTATGAGGTAATATACTTTCTCTAATACTGCTTAAATTAGTCTATGAATATTTACACATAAAGCTCCACTCTCGCTTCCAAATTTGGCAGGACAATATTGCAAATTAGCTGTCAGGGCATACCAAACTCCTTTATAAGCATAACTGAGTGGCTGCAGGATTCACATCAGGATACATCCTGTCAGCTAAAGTGATCTTGTTATCTGAGGGGTTAGCTCAATAGGTTTGTTCCTTCTACTGTCGTTGTTATAAAAATGACTCTTGATTATTTTTGGCCGCATTATCTGTTTTTAAATAACAGGTCACGCTAAAAGTAATATTTCTTTTATGGTTTAAACTATCTTTTTTATTCGTAAGACCTTATTTTACACCTTATGTCCCTTTTTTCTAAAGTGATTATTTTAAATGGTGTATGCATTTCTAGACTAGTTTTCATAATTTTATTGTTATYCATGTTTTGATTTTTCATTTCAAGACTCTCTTTTTCAGTATGATTCTGAATAGCTAAGAGGTGGCTAACACTTAACACTGAAATASTTTCTTYAGAARTAGTTTGCACTAAGTTATCTTGTTGKCTTTCAAGAACTGAATTGTAAATTCTGACACAATTGTAAATGTGAAAARTATGAACTCTGGACATAGCTTTAAGCACATATTTAAGCTCACTGCAGTTAGTGAAGTTTATATGCCTGGCTGGACCTGGATACATGATGAGTAGCCATAGCCATCTGATTAATAAMATCTTTATTTTAATTGCAATTTGACTTTTCTTTTTTGGATTTAGAACCAACAGAGCAGTCCGTTTTATTCTGAGCCGAGGGGATGATATGGTAATCACTGGTGGCAGACATCCTTTTATTGCTAAATATAAGGTGAGTGCYACAAGAATTCAGTGAAAAAATACCCACCTATATTCTGTCAATAAGTGTTTCAGTGTTATTGGTTAATGTGTTCTAAACTACAAACCAGGAAACCAAGAGATAAAGTAGCTGTACAACCCCTTTGTCTGCTTCTACCTCTGTCTCTTCAGGGTTTTGTTTTGTTGTTTATTTTTTTTTTTTTCTAATTCCTTTATGTCCTTTTCCTTTTATAGCTCTTTCTGTCTTTCTGGAAACAGGAGGCTAACCTATATCAGACTTCTTCTGATATAGCAGCACTTTTTTTTTAAACTCTCCATATGGTTAGATTCACACAAAAAGCAGYTAATTTTTCACAGAAACGGTGTCATGCAGAAAACTTGCCTTATGGAGGAAATTAATCTCTTCCCTGCCCMTGCACTGTCATCAGTCATCACTATTCATTAGGATGGTTTCTGCCTTCTTTTCCTTCTCTACTTGTCATATAAGTTACACATGCCAACCACCATAATGGGGTTTMAATCCAAATGTCTGCTGAATCMATAAGCTGAAAGATAGATTTCTCTTTAAGAGTACCTTTTGTTAATWGCAYTACAGCTCAAGCTGRATRCTTTCAAAGAGGGACCATGAACAATGGGAYTCCTGGACAATTATACCCTTATAATCTTAATGGCCCATCCCTCACATGACAATTCAGACCAATTAAGGGCCCGGAGTCTGCACATTCTTCATGGGTTTCTTTCATTGTCTGTAGCTGATTATTTCTTTTCTTCTAAGTGTGCAGCTCTGCTAGAGARTGTAGCTTCCTTATCTTTGAGCTTGAACTAGCTCTGAGGCCTTCTTTYATTTGACTAGGTAACAGTTCAACACACCTAGGTGAAAGCTCACAGCTTGCAGCCTAAAGCTGCAGCAAATTTAACTGCTAATGCTAAGCAAGTTGCATGACATACTACATAAGTAAARTAAGAAGTTTTATAAATGCTTCCCTAAAGCTGAAAATGAGCTGTAGCTTGTGTTGAGAATTCAGGAGCTGTTAGTGGCAACAGGTGAAAAGAAGGATGTGAGATAAAGATAACATTTTTTTCATTAATAAACAYACATGTCATACTCCATTAAAGTGGGATTTGATTTTATCTGCAGTAAACATTCCTAAGTGACACACCTGTCAGCTATCTCAGGCAATAAAGAGGAAGCCACTGGGCTTCCCTGCTTCTTCCTTTTCCAATGGGCTGATGTTGCTTATTATTATATTATATTATTATTATTATTATATTATTGCTATACCTATAGAGATTACAGATGCCAGGTGGGAAAATCCATGTCTTAGAAATATACTTTCTCTTGCCTTCCATTTTCAGTTTCAGTGAATGCTGCCCAGAATTTAATAGTGCAGTATGACCCTAAATGTGTGGGTTATGTTCATTTTCAAAATATACAAGCACTTAAGAAACAAATGAATGCCAAATGCTRAATAATGTACTGTTAATCCTTCTAGGTTGGCTTCATGAACGATGGTAGGATCAGAGCTGTGGATGCCAAATATTACATTAATGGAGGATGTACCCCTGATGACTCTGTCCTGGTAAGGATTTTATGCTGATGAAGTTTACAACCCAGAGGAGTCATTACCTGGAAAATTATGAAGGCCAAATTCCCTTGCCYATGTATTATTAATCATATAGACTTTTGATATAGGGATTGTGGGTTGTTGGAAGAATTTACACCAAGTAGGTTAACCTTCCCTTATTCAGGTTAGTGAAGAATGATACTATTTTTTTTATATTATCCTAMACATTCACTTCATGAATATTTTATCAGGCTTATTTTTCTGTTTTGAACATCTCAACTAACAATATATTCCTTTTAAAATATGTGGTACCTGCTTTTGTCCCTTCCTAAAACTTTATATCTTCAGGGCTGGGAAGACCTTTCTTAGCCTTCAGAAAATTCATAGTGGTAGTTATCCTSTTGCTTGTACTATATCAATATGTTGTCTTCACTCTGATTTAGTAAGAGCTCTGTAAAGACTGATCAGCTTCATACACATACTTTCTCTGAAGTCCATAAAAGTTGTGGTCATTAAAAAAAAAAACCCACTATTTTTCATTCTGCAAAGAACATTTCAACTTATTTTCTTAAATGAAAAGTTATGTGACATTATTCATATGCACTGTTACTCTACCAAAATTTTCTCCAATTGTTACTATGCAAACATGTTTTAAAGTTTATTGCTTAAAGCAATTCCTTTCATAGCTACACTTGCTTTAAATCTCATCTGCCTAATTTTAATTTTGTGTGGCTTTTGGTGTTGAAGTAGAGGCAAATCAATCATAAAAYGACATATCTGTTACATCCTTAACTACTAATAACATTCAAGTACAAGTAACATCAGCTGTGTTCTGTATCAATAAAAAAGAACTGAAAATTAATATATTTCATGAGAAATGTATTAATAAAGTCTGTAGGTGTGGATAAGTACTCTAACTACCAGTGAYTGCCAGAAACCCAGTTTTAAAGCTAATTGTCTCAAGTTAAGATCCTTTATACAAGAGATGAGGAAGATGTAAATGAAAATTCGAAACAAGCACTGTTTTGACATTAAACCAGATCTGTTTGTCCCCTACCTCAGGTAACAGAAGTATCCTTATTAAAAATGGACAATGCATACAGGATTCCCAACTTGAGATGCCAGGCATATGCCTGCAAAACAAACTTGCCATCAAACACAGCATTCCGAGGCTTTGGCTTTCCTCAGGCWGGACTGGTGACAGAAACTTGGATARCAGATGTTGCAGATAAAACTGGTTTATCACCAGAAAAGGTATCTAAATGAAGGCATCTTCTCTCTTGAAATGAAGTCTATGGAATTGGAAAGTTAAAAACCTTTAGATTAGTTTAATTGTTTGAACGAGTCTTTTCTAAGTGAAACATAATTTGTGCTAAAATTCATATTTTTTTATATCAGTGTCTGGTTGTCGAATGAATAGCATGGTCTTACAAACTGTAAATTGTAATTAAAAAAACCCATACAGTTATCTTCTTGTTGTCTATTAGTCCCCTCAGATAGTCAGTTTGCCTTTAACAGGGTTGTATGATAGCTGTAATTGCATTTTTTTAGATTAGGGAAATAAATATGTATAAGAAGAATGAGCAGACACCCTACAGACAAGAACTTGATCCACAGAATTTAATACGATGTTGGGATGAATGTATGGAGAAATCTGCATACTACAGTAGGAGAACARCTATCAATGAATTCAACCAACAAAATTACTGGAAGAAAAGAGGGATTGCCATTGTACCAATGAAATTTCCATTTGGACAAGGGACACCTTACCTTTCTCAGGTGAGTTTCATTAAGAGTAAGTGAGCTAAACATTTTATCCATAGAAGATTAGAGTCACTTTATCTTGGGATATCAAACAAATATTTCTTCTTTCAACTCCTGGAAAACGATCATCCTCTTATTGGTTGTTCCCTAAAGAGGCTGTACTGGCTTGTATCTCTCTTCCAACTGAAATCAAAGCTGTTTGGTTTTCAGGACMCAGGCAGCTTGGACCCTGCCTGCTTAAAGGCTGGTCCCATCTGTTTGTGTTGGAATAGGTGAGTTGAACACATTYACAAAACATTTTTGAAGACTGATAMCAAAGTGTTCATTGAAGAAGTTGTCCACTCTAGAAATAACTCTGAACCTCCTCTTTCTGCTCATGGTACTATGGGTTGCTGCTCTGAAGGACTTAACCCTTAACAAGACAGTAGTATTTTTGGTCCCTGTATTTTTTTCATTTATGTGTCCAGTGCTTCTGAAAAAKACAGTATTGTATCAGTTGAAAATTAATTATTGACTGATTTATGTCCTATTAGACTGGCTGTCTCTGATCAACATTAAATTCACAGGGTCTTYGTAGTCTACAATGCTACTTCTAGCTGAGTTCAGAAAGAAAATGCCATTCAGAAATTCAGCCTCTGCAACTGAAAAACCTCCAGGGTTCTCACATGTCAGTGAGAGAGAAAATGAAACTTAGAGCAAATTTCACAAACAGCCTGTACCTCCAGCTTGTTTTGGAACCACTGAGATACTTTTGCCAGGTGTAGGTTTGTTTCAGGATCTAGTAACAGAAAAAGCAGACCACCAAGGATTTCTGTCTTTTTCTTTTGAAGCTCATATAGAGGAAGAGCAGCAAGAACAATTTCAAATTTTACCTTCTCTTCAAACATTAAACAGATAAACTGAAATGTATTTAAACACTTTGCCTGGTTTTTTTTTTATTCAAGTCATCACCAAATACAACACATTTCTCATTAGTCTTACCTTGATTTTGGTTTTCTTTTTTAGGGTGCTGCACTGGTTCATATTTATACTGATGGGTCTGTGCTTCTGACACATGGTGGAATTGAAATGGGGCAGGGTATTCATACAAAAATGATCCAGGTAACAAATGATCTAAATAATTATTACTGTGTGTTTTATCTGTCATGCAGATAAATGGTGTAAAGGTTTTCTTTTTAGTTAGTTAGTGTACCAGTAAGACAGTTTCTTTACAAGCATAGCCACTACTTCTTTGCATTGATAGAGTTAGAAAGCAAAGGYACCTTCATTAAGAGTCATAGAGGCAGAAGGAAGGAAAAAACTGACTGGTTTTTATTCTTCCAATAGCGCGTGACGAGGCTTATTAGAAGTAAGATTTTTGGGGGCTGATCCCATAAAATCCATAATGAAAAAGCAGACAGGATTCATAGTGGTATACAGTCATGATGATAACATTATGACCATATTTGATTAATGGATAATTCTGCAACAGATCTGCAAAGATATTTATCAAGTCAATGGAAGTTTGGGACCTGGGCTTGCATAATTTGCTGTAAGTATTACAGGTATAAGCACAAAAATCAGGAATGACTGTCRGACTTCAGAGTCTCAATCCAGAGTTTGGGTGCAGCTAGAACATTGTCTTTCTTTTCTGTTTCTTAGTAGTAACAAATTGGACAGAATTATTTCAGCTGGAGAGCAGAAGAGAACTTGCTAAAAAAAAACCCTTTGCTGATATCTTTTCTGGTATTTCTGACTTCTGGCAAATACTGGGGRATTGATGGAGTGTTTAGATTGTTTCTAAAACAAAGATGTTGTTCTTCCTGGAACAGGTGGCTAGTCGGGAGTTGAACATCCCCATGTCATGTATTCACTTCTGTGAAACGAGCACAACAACTGTTCCCAATGCATGTGGCTCKGTAGGATCTGCAGGGACAGATGTCAATGGCATGGCTGTGAAGGTAAACAGTAGCATGGAGTGGAAAAAACCACCCTACCCCTTGAGGTACATGCTTGGCAAACTTTAGGCACTAGTGATCCCATAAAAATTGTGTTTGGGGATTACCAATAACACTGCTGGAGATGGCCAAGAAGAGACATGGCTTGATTCTCAGTAATGGTGCTTATGAGTTTTCAGAATATGATCTGGACTTTCCCAAAAAGGCTTATACTTGACAAAATCTTCTTTTCATCTAACTAGTCCCATGTTCATGTTTGAAATGTACTGATTCATAGAGATTCCAGCCCTTGTAACTGAACAGTTTAGAAGTTTTATGTCTAGGTGGTTAATATGACACTTCCTGCAATACCTGTTCAAACTAAGATGACAGTAAAGCATATACTAATTAAGTAGTAACTAGAACATTATTTGAACAGTASCAAATGTGTCTGTGTTAATTTTGTGGCATATTCTCCTGACTTCTTACCAGGATGCTTGCCAAACTCTTCTGAAACGCCTGCAGCCCATCATCCAGAAGAACCCAACAGGGACCTGGAGTGATTGGGTAAGACATGTGAATCCTGCTTGAATATGTTTGAGTCTGGCAGAAACTGTGATATATGTACTGTACTCTAYAAATCTGCTCAGCCTAATAACCCTGAAGTTAAAAACTGTAGAAAAAGGTTATTTCACAAAAAGATGGAGTGCAGAGTAGTGAAGAGAAGGTTCTTGGCCAGAAATGATTATGTGGAAGATAACAATTAGATTTATTGCTAGTACAGTATTTAAATATTGCCAGTGTAATATCCAGCCTCCTCACCAGTGGGGCAATCAAAAAAGCAGAAAAGGCCTTGGCTCTGTGTAAGCCATGCTTAGGAATAACAAAAATGCACTAATCCAAAACACCAAATCGCCCCTAATATGTCCAAAATTAATTTGGATGATTCAGGCACACCAAAAGTATTATCAGAAATGGCTGACCAAAGAAAGAATGTTAATATATGCAGAGAAGTAATTTTATATCTTCAAAAACTAAGTAAAACCAACCAAAAACCCTACMAAAACTTCTAGACTTGTAAACTGAGTAAATCTAACATGAGAATCACTCGAAGGGAATAGATTTGGGACCTCATACTGTCACTTTTACTACTGGCAGAACTTTACAAAGAGCATTTCTCTTGAAAACTGTCATTTTTGTCAAATTTTTGGCCACGCAGATCTTTTGTGTCAGTGTGGTGGTTTGACCTTGCTGGAYTCCAGGTGCCCAACAAACTGCTCTATCACTCCCATTCTCAGTGAGATCAGGGAAGAGGATAAGATGGGACAACCCCAGTGAGTCAGTGGGTTAAGATAAAGTTTATCAAAGGGAAAGCAAAATGTTGCACATGCACATAGTTGCATGACCCAATATAATCAGTGACTTATCAACCAGATCTGTTTAGCTGACAAATAGGAACCCATTTCTGTTGAACTTGATCAGAAAAATTGAGCAGGACCCTTTCTGACTATGGCATTGCCAGTAATAAATATTCTGCAAGAACACCACTGTTTACAGGTCTATTCCTTCTTGAATTGTTCATGCAAGGGGGGTTTAGTTCAGTAGCATTAGGCATCATGTGCACCTAAACATGCTAAATTCAGCTTGTCTTCCTTTCTTTACAATTTTTACAGTTTGGGTTTTAAGTAAATATATGTAGGTAACTATATATATGTGTAAATAAATATATCTATGTTGTGTTCCTTCCTGACTCCTTCCTTAGTTTACCACAAGCACTGCTATATTTTACAGGCTAAAGAAGCTTTTGAACAGAGTGTGAATCTTTCAGCTACTGGCTATTTTAGGTAATATATTTTTGTTCCTTAAACAATGCATAAATTAGACCAGGACTGATTTCTGAAGATAACTAATGCTGTGAATAGAAGATCCTGTCCAAGATATCTTCCTAATAGCTCATTTTATGTTTTACATAATTAGTTAATATATGGAGGGTTGGAAGCATAAAGTTTAGGTGTTAATTTATGCCTAGCCCTCTGTGGACTCTCTAGAAAGTATTAAAAGAATAYTTTGTGCCATCTTTGCTCCATGATTTGACATTCAGCAAACCAGAAGGTATCAAGAAAGTGACTGCTGCCTATAACAGTTGTGTGCAAAGTGGGATATAGTTTATTTACTGGAGGCTGTATTGCTACAAGCTATAAATATCATTGTTCCCACTGCTCTCAGAGCAGACTCTYGGTCCTTTTTCTTTGAATTCTTTTGCAGTGTTTATAAAGAAATAGAACTGAAAAATTTCTGTGCTATAACTCAGGAAATATTCAAAGCAAAGCTTTTCTCTTAGCCTGCTGTGCCTTCTCTCTTCTCTCCTTCTGCTGGTGCTTCTTACTGGCCAATAGCAACTTTTCAGGTCTCTGGACAATTTCAATTTACTCTCTGGAGTAAATTGAAAGGTCACTTGGAAAACCCATACTATTTTAGAACCTTGAGAAATGTCCAAATAAAATGTCCCTTCCTGCTGTTAAGCCCATTCAAGTATATTTTCTGCTTATGCAGTCCTTTAGGAGTGTTCATACCACCAAAGTAATGAACAACAGTCATGCTTTGCTATTGACATTTAATGGTGTCCAAAAACATCTGCAGATCCCTGAGCCTCAGACCCTGTATTGATCTAGTTCTTRTCCAGTCATATTCTCTACTTCCAAGAATCTCAAAGGCAGCTGAGGTAAATGGATTACAAGAAGTTGACTATGTGGATTTTGTGTATGCCTTTTTCAGTGCATGTTTCTATACTATAATTGCTTTATGATAATTTCAAGTATCTCTTTATGATAATCTCAACAAAGCCTTTTCAATCATACATCATCAGAAAATAGACCTTACTCACATAGCTCACATGTTTGGAAGCACCACATTTCCCTGTCCTCTCATGTCCTTGAATTTACCCCATCAGTTCTGACTACTGTGGTGTTTTCATTAAGTCCCACTCTCTTCTAATTCCACTTTTATTTCAATATTCCTGTTTTAACCCTCTCACTCAATTCTGTAGGCTGTTTTTGCAATTTTGACTTYTTCATTTATCTCTTGTAAATTATTCTTTCATAGGTTCTGGCAAGTTTTCCTCCCTATTTCTTTATGTGCTATTACCCCAGCAATAAYTGTCTTAAATGTTCATTCTKTATTTGGTTACTGTGCTTTTATTASTGTATTTCTRGCATTGTGTGGTTATRGACTCTTCTGARCTGAAATAGTTTGCTTGTCTGCTACATTTTATATAAATACCACATGCATCAAATCTAAACTATTAGTGCTCTGTAGGCTTTCATGAAATTTTGAAGTTCTGATCTGTTAAACTTAAGATTTCACATAGGATTTTGTACTTAAGATTTCACGAGTAGTTTGAAACTTTTATGTGCTCATCCGTTTTGTTATAATTCAAGCTGTCTTCAGTTTTCTTCTTGTGGACTTTGTGTCTTCCATCAGAGGTTACAATGAACACATGGACTGGGAGAAAGGGGAAGGACAGCCATTCACATATTTTCTTTTTGGAGCTGCTTGTTCAGAGGTTGAAATTAACTGTCTAACAGGAGATCACAAGGTAACTGAAGTTTTGGAAATAATGTGAATRAGGCTTGCTCCGACAATTATTCAGGTTTTGCATTARTAAGTGACCTCTCTTCACATGATARTAAATACATCAACGGTGTAAATACAAATTGGGGGTGGAGCAGAATGAAAGCTATGCAATATTAAGCAGCTTCTTGACACATTGTTGTGAACATCACATTGTTCACCTTTTGGGTTATGGCTGACATCTAACATATTCTTTGCTTGTTCTGCCCTTGTTTGCCAGCAAAAAGCTTACAGCAGTATTCAGTTTYCAGGCTTTTGACCATCTGGACAGCTAAATGTTRCAGACTGATGATCATATGTCCTCTRTCTGTACTTCTATATGGAGATTCCCTTGAGCAATGGGTAAAATCTGGCATGGCTGTCTCTGGCTGAACTTCTCTTCAGACAAACCCATTTTGCTTATTATGAGATATTGGAAACTATTCTGAAATTATGTACATGGAGGGTGGCCTCAATCTCAGTATTTCTTATTTCACTGAATACCACCTCTAACCCACATTATCTTCTGATGCTTTCAGTCCATGTCTCTGGGTGATATAAATTTGAATTTTATTAACAGAACCTCAGAACAGACATTGTTATGGACATTGGATGCAGCATAAACCCAGCTGTGGATATTGGACAGGTATGTGCCAAGAACCTTCTGCTGCCTTATTTCTATTACACTGTTGTCCTTATCTGAAATGAAGATTACCCCATTAATTCTGAAAACATTCATTTCTTACTAGATTATAAATCAAAAATCATATTAGAATGTCTTTTGCCTATGGATTTGCTGCATTTGAGTTAGTGTCAGAGCTTTGTAGATGTGAAAGAAGCTCGAATTTTACCCATGGTGTCAATGTGTAGTGTTTCCAGTGTGTATATATGCCTTCTGTCTACTGGACTATTCTCCAAGGTGTTTGACCTGCCTTCCCCACTTGAGAGCAGGAAAAGCCTTTGTTCATTGCAGGCTGGTCCTCAGATGTCATCACTTCATCATGAAAGCATTTGTCTTCTCAGCTGTGAGAGAGGAGTGTGAAAGCTCTTCCCATCACAGTTGCCCCAAAATGTTGAAGAATCRCTTTAGGCAAACAGAAGTGCATTAGGCCTCACATAAATTAGCCAAACAGCTAGTGATACAAACGAGTTCTCAATGAAGTTTTACTCAGTTAACCACACATGAGTGCATTAATGCTATTTCTTTTCTTATTTAAAGATTGAAGGTGCTTTTGTTCAAGGCATTGGACTGTACACCATGGAGGAGTTAAAGTATTCTCCAGAAGGGGTCCTCTGTACTCGGGGTCCAGATCAGTATAAGATCCCTGCTGTTTGTGATATTCCAGAACAGTTTAGTGTTTCCCTGCTGTCATCTTCCCAAAATCCTCATGCCATCTATGCATCCAAGGTAAGCAAATCATCACAGGGCCTAATTCTTAGATCCCAGGCCAGAGAAATTACTCTGATACAAAACACATWCAAGTTTTCAGTTTCTCTCCTTTAGCATTTCAAACAAGTGTCCAGTAGGTTGTTTTATTTATGACATCATGGAAGCTAAAAGAAAAGACATAAAGCCAGATATTGTTGTGTCAYTTTAATGGTTGGCAAGTAGTGATTTTAGTTTTGTTAACAGACCATACACAGAAGCTGCAAGATGAATTTAAAACCATACTTCTAAATGTGGTGATAAACTGAAAGGTTAGAATAAAAATATTGAAGTAATCGATAGAGAGACCATAATGTCAATCAGAGTGTGCAGCTTACTTGTGTGTGCTATGAATATGAAATAGGACTGTATGTGTGTATTTATATGAGAGATTGGCCTTTTTAAATCTTTTTCAGGGGATAGGTGAGGCAGGATTTTTCTTGGGATGCTCTGTGTTCTTCGCTTTGAGAGATGCAGTAACTGCTGTGAGGAATGGAAGGGGACTGAACAAGACCTTTGCACTGAACAGCCCTCTGACTGCTGAGCAAATACGGGCAAGCTGCRCTGATGCCTTTACTGAGATGGTAAAAGAAGGGGGAGAGGGAAGGTTCTGTTTGACTATGGCTGGGTAGGAGTGTTTTGGTGGGGTGTCTAATGGTGTCTCCAACTGGTCATGCTTTATATACAGCTCCATGTAATTGAAATGTCTGGTAACAGGTCTCATTTACACCTGGTATTTCAACAAATGCCATTCAAACATYGTATATGAATTTCCCTGGTTTTGGTTTGGTTTTTTCTTTTTTTTCTTTGAAATTTACATCATTTTTACAGTCCTCTCTTTCCCTGAACCTCCTTCCTTCTTTCTGTATGTTAAATCCCAGAGAAGATTACATAGCTCATCTTATTAACATGCAATGGATCAGACTCTAAGCATCTTCAGTCTCCTTCCAGGTCCTTGCATGCTGGTGCTGTCACTTCATTCTGGTATCCTTGCAATGCCCACAACTCTTCAGGAGAAAAATAATTAATTCAGAGCTAACGAAAAGAGACAGAAGAAAAACAAACAAGGCAATACATACTGTATCATGCTGATCCTTTATACTCTGTTTTCTGCAACTGTTCACTGTAGTCATGTTCCCACTGCTATTACAAATCTTTTTCTGTGTAAGTTTTTACTTATTGAGGCCAGGTCCTTGCCAGCATATAAATCCATGCTGTGCCCTGAACCTCTGAGGCTCTGCTATGGAAACTCTTGAGCTCTCATTCACTTATTTCTGCCATGACATTTCTGTGATTGTGGTGAGGCACCACTGGCCCCTGGATCAGTAGGTTTATGGATTTACCCTCATTGCAGGGACCATGCTTCTCCATCGCTGTTCAGTCCAAATCCCAGTTATCACTGACCTTCCTCCCAGCCATCCTCTGGAGGTGTCTCCTCTCCAGTATCCTGCTGAGTGACCTGGAGGCACCTGATAAGGGAGATGTTGGGAGTTTGCCGCTCCAATAAAGTCACTTGTGTCATTTCTTGCTTATCTCTTAGATGGCAAACAATGAAGCTGCTCCCTCYGCTCCTGGGACCACATCTGTGTGAATGACAAACCATAGTGCACAAGACYGGAATGGAGAACTGATTTACTACCCCAAGACACACAAATCAACACTCAGATAAATGTATTTTCTCTTTTTCCAAATAGAATTAGCAATCAAAAATAAGCACTTTACATGTTCCATCCTTATCTTCATTTTTCCTCCAGTATACTCATTGCAGTATTTTGCCTAAATGAGTGCATTTAGTTGTTAGAAATATACCTTCTGCATTTGAACCATATATTTTCAACAAGAAAGATCTGCTGAGCAGCACAGCTCAAATGCTGCAGGAGAGGAACATTAGGATGAAATGTAAACATATGCTAGATAGCTTACTGCCATGAATTACACTAAATAACTTCATATGATAMATTATTTTGTAATGGCTTCAGCTAATTTGTTAATTTACATTTGAGTCTTGCARTGAAGTGTGAGTGCAGAGAACTTCGTCAAAGAGTCAGAACCTTGTTTATTGAATTCAGAACCTTTTTGATCAGAAGTGATGCTCTGACCTACAGTAAAGCTGGTTTACATTTTTTGGCACAGATAACTTCATGTTAAAAACATGGAAGAAACAAGAGTTACAATACTCTTTTGCAATGCCAGGCAAGTTGACACAGCTGACCTAGATATATAGAATTCTATCCCGAAAATTGACAGAGTTGTAATTTCCACCAGAAGCTTTCTTTATTTCATGAAGTAAGCCAAAAGCCTCTGAACATAATGGGAAAAYTGACATGGAGTTCAGTGTGCTTTGAGTGGGAGAATGGATGAACCTTAAAAGGATTCTTAAGCAATGCTTAATCTTGTGCTCAGCCATGAAAGTACAGTTAGGAGCTTTCTTCCACTCTTGGCCGCTGCTGAAATAAAGAAGACAGAAAAAAAACATAATGAGATCAAAAGATGATCTGCAAAATCAGTCATCTGATGCTGCTAATGTGCAGTGGAATTAGACCACACCCAAGCAGCAGCAGCTGGAGAAAACAGGAAAATATAAAGCAGCACTGTATCCAATGGTAACAAATATTCTGGTGTTAATAAATTTGAAGCATCTATGTATTTGTAACCTAGGGTAAGAYCAACATAAAACTTCAAAGTTATGAGAGCTTCAGTCTCAATATTCAGTTTTCAGCATCAGAATCCACAATATTGAACTCACTGATTGCTTTAGCCTTTTCTCCTCATCGAGTGCAAAGACAAAGATTTCAGTTCTGAATATGCACACACACAAATACACAAATCTCCATGGTATTTGTATTTGGGGCTTTGATCTGGGATACATCCTAGTGTAGAGAAAACACTTCACTTTTTTAGTGAGTCTACAAAAGTTACATAAGTTAGCACTTGAAAAACTGCATCAGGTCCTTTGATAAGAAAACAGAAATGGGAAAATTGGTAGTTTATATGTTCAGTGTGTGGTTTCAGTGAATCTCTGCATCAGTTATTCCTTGCTAAGCATGGTGATTGCTCTTCCAGTTACTCATAGGTCACACTGCTCCAGCACTAGGAAGACTGCCCTTTATATTGGAAKTAAATGGCTTTAATTTGTTTGACATGTAAGCCTGCAGGCTCTTATTATTTCACTGCCTCTYGGTGTTCCACAATTTCCTCTTGCCTTCATTTCCTTCTATGAGCTGATACTGTATCTGTCACAGAAATCAGGTCAGAAGCTTAAACAGCTGYTGCATTGGCTATTAAGATATGAAATCTTTATTGTTTCAGTTTTCTCTCTGTAACCACTATGAGCAGGTGAAATGCAGGTTGCTTAAGCATAGGTGTCTAAACCATTATAGAGGTCATAAGACAGCAGAGACACGGGACAGGAGAGCACAGGACTGGAAGATGTGATACAGCAACTGGAGACCAGGCAGGTACTAGTAATTGTAATCATTGGAAGTGGTACTGAAAATGTGATTTAGGCAGCTGAAGCCCTTTTTCATTTTTGTTTCATTTTCATTTCATTTTCTTCAATTTCTTTGTATTAACTTGGCTTTTATATATTGTTAGGTCAATAAATTAAATATGAATTCTGCTGCCACGATTAGATTTTCTCATTTGAAACTTCTGGGTTGCACTGTTCGGTGTTACGATGGGATTACAAGAGATGCCTCTGCCCCAGCTAAGGTGCAAACAAGACCTGATGTTCAAGTCAATAGTCCTGGAGTCATTCTTCTGGAAGTACCACTTTGATACAGTCCGAGTCCTGAGTATCCTTGGGCCATACATGCTGTTTCCATCACTTGAGATAGCACRTGTATAAGCATGTCTTGGTTTGAAAGACAGGTGTTTGCCAGTGAAGGCAGGGACCCCCCCCTTGGAGTGGTGGGTATGACCCCCCTTCCCTCTGAATTATTATAGCTTTGAAAAATCACAGGCTTCCAGGCAAAAGTATGGGGAAAAGGGAATAACAGTTTTTACTAATATATATATATAACAAAGTGAAATAAGTAAYAACAACAACAGCAACAACCAACCCAGCCACAAACCCAKTGACAGCCTCACACAGAKATACACACACCCTCCCCTTTGGTGCAGTTCCAGTCCCAGCCAGCAGGGGCGCTGTTGGCTCCCGGCCGGGCAGGGCGGGTGCGATGATTCCCCGGTGGCTGCAGGGGGCGCTGTGGGCGGGTCCCGGCTGGTTCAGATCTCCCGCGTGGCCAATGGCGGATACAAACCGGCAGAGATGGATGGGGAAAAAGTTCCTTTGCAAACTCACAGAGGAAAATGATGATCCCGATGCTCCCTCTGGACAGCAAGAAACCTCAGAACGGTCAGATGGGCAAAGAGCAGAATCCCGCAGCTGCAGATGGGATGCAGCAGAACTCAACCCCTGCAGCTGGAATCTCAGGGGTCCCAGGCAAGGCACAGGAGCAGAAGATCACAGTGCAGCAAACAGGAACCAACGAGCAGAGATGCTGGGCTCTGCAGAAAAGAGCCGGTGAGCTCTCCCCTCGCAGGTAGCAGGCCGACCTCCTTCTCTGAGCCAAGCAGGGCAGGGAGTGAAGTTACTCCCTGCCACACACACACACACACACACACACCCCCTCCCAGTGCTCAGCAAGGTCATTTGGGTGGGGCGTAGATCTTATTGTCTTTACCAATCATCCAGCCATCAAAAGGATGACCTGGCAATCAGTGTATCCCAACAACAAAATGGGAAAGAAAAATTCCTCAAGAAAGGAAACAAAAGGAGAAGCCTTATCCCACAACACTTGGATATGCACACARGTAAATGGATGAGAATCTAGAATCCCCAATCAGGATTTGGGATTTCCGCTCTTTTAAGAACACAGCATGTCTTGAATATGGTACTCACAGCACAAGGGGCATAGAATTGCCATGGCAGAGAGATAGCCAGAAGGAAATTTTAAATATGTGTATGGTAGTAATGTGGGTTTTGTTAAAATTTGGTCATTCTGCAGAAAAAAAAAGAAAAGATTATAGGTCATTCAGGTCAAGCTAAAATGAGGATCATGGCTCCACAGCTTTGCATCTGACACCCTAGGGAAAAGGGTAATGTTGCATGTGCTTGGTTCTAGCTTCAGGCATGCCTATATCTTCTAAATTTGTCAGTTATTAGATAATACAGACCTGAAAATAAACAAGATAAACAGACCTGGAAGTTGTAGCTCAAACCTTGAACTCCCCCCTCACAGTTATCTTTGATGTTACAGGGTTAGAATTAAAGGAGCTCAAATTCTTTGCAGATTATTTCAAGTCACCAGAGAAGAGTTGGGGTGGGGAGTAGGAGGTGGTGCATTAGCATCTGAATATGCATTAACTGCTGAGAAATGGCATACAYTGCACTGGCTCCTCCCCTACTGCTTATTTTCAGACTGAGCATCAAATGAAATTCTGCCCGACAAAGCAAACTCAGTTGGCCTTTAGGAAGATACAGCATTTGATTAATTTATCTTGATGCATAAAGCATTATTTTGCAGACTTTGATGCAACAAATTGCTTTGCCCTCAAYAATCAGATAAGTTTATCTTCTTTGTGAATGGCAGAAAGGTAAGTTATGAACAGAAAGGTGAGTTTATGAACAGAAAATAACTATGCAATCCAGCACTGCATTTTYCCATGGTTGACACTGCACCCAATGTGGCTGCAACACATTTGCTMTGACCATTTTCAGGAAATCCTGAAAGATATTTCTTAAGGCTTGATATATGTCAAGCGAAGACTTAAGTGTGATTAGTATGATCATCTCCCATCTTTTGAGTAGTGTGTGAATAGATAGAATGAAAGATTAAAAATAAATTTGTACAACTTGAATTTTTGAGTCCAACTCAACCTATAAAGTGTAAAAATTCCTTGTCACCCTAGGAAAGAATCTCATCTGTTGACAAAGACTTGCAACTTAATCTGAATATGTGTGTTCTYCCCCCACCACATCAGTTTCCTTGCAGATCCTTTCAGGTTTTTGCAATCCAGAATAATCCCACCCATGGATACAACAAAGGAATTTATATTTCCTCCTGAACTAGTGGTAGGCCTAACTGACATTTGTTATCTCAGGCATAACTGAGTTCCTACAAATGTTGAAAACCTGATGTTTTTGTGAAATGGAAACATTTATCCTCAGATTAATAGAAGATACTAGTTGCAGTCACACATAATGAGACATTTCAAAGTGCATGATCTACATATTGTCATTATTAAAATCACTCATATTTTCCAAATATAAATTGTTTGCCTCTGCAGAAAAAAAATTTCCCCAAAGAGCTCCTTACTTAGGATCATTTCACTTTGGACTAGTAGGCTTTTTTTTTTTTTGTGAAACACAGTGTTTTCTTAAGAAGATCCCAAATGAAATTCTCCATCTTTTTGGTGTTATATTCTCTTTTGGATTCAAGTGATGGTTTCTTCCAGGTGGGACATGGATGCTAACAACCTGAGACTGGACTTACATGCTGGTCCACAGGAAAGGCAAAGGACTTGAAGAGGAAAGAAGGGAGTTTATTGCAGTGGTTATGGGAAACTCACAAAAGAACAAATGAAAACTTCTGTTTTTTCAGGAGGGGGAGGAGGAAAGTGCCCATAATCTGCAGGCACAGGCAAGAGATCCRTGAAAATGGTAGTGCAGGACATACACAGACCAGACTGAGTAGAATCCAAGCAGTAGGGTTCAGACTGTTTTTTTTAAATCTTCACTCATGTTTCAGCAGCTTCTTGCAAAATTCCTTGTTTGCGTTCCTTTTGGAAATATTCGTGGGCAGTTCTTGCTGCTATTACACAACCACCTCACAAGCACAGAAGTTAATTTGAGTTCTGAAAATGCATGGCACAGTTCTGTGGTTTGTCACCATATCACAGAATGCTATTTACTGCAAGGCAGTTGGCTTTGTAAACATTTGTCAGAGAGTGCAACTTTCTTATTTAATGACTGCCTCTCAGTGCAGAACATTCATAGCAAGGCATAAAATCCTTTGTGAATCCATGAAATGGGAAGTAAATCTGCCTTTCTGCTACGTGCCCTGCCTTTGAGAAACCCATGCTTCAAGAATGCAAGTATTAATGTTATACAAATGTTATACTTGAATTAAATATATTGGCTAAACTGCTGCTGGCTGATAAAGCTGGTCAGACAGAAAGGAGATGCCACCATCTGCTCTACATGTTCAGACTGAGCTGCCAGAARGAGTGAACTGCTTCTCCAGCCTACAGAAGGTGTCCATACCAGTAAATTATGTTTGCTTCCACAGACACAGAGGGTTTTTTTTTTTTTTGTTTCAGGCATGTCTTTTACCTGGAAGGCCAGTCCAGAGTTGCAACAGTTCTTTGGCTGGTCCACTGGTCTGTTTGTTGCATTGTCTGCAAAGACAGGTRTTTCTCAGGGATTGCTTTCGTGTATTTTGAAACTATGATTTCACATGGCACTTGTCAAATAAGAAAAGAACATACATTATATTCTCAGGGGGGAAAAAAGGCTACATATAATCTTGTAAGAAAGGAGGTAGCAGAAAAACACTTTGATTAAACAAAAATGTAAATACTGATCAACCATCCCAAGGAGACAACACTTCTGAAAAGACAAATTTAAAAAACATTTTACATATTGTAAACACTGCTCTGGGTCTCAGACTCTGACTCAGCAAATGGGGATGTAGTGAACCTCCCTAAGAGAATACACTGCTTTTATTCTGTCAATATGCAGTGAGATTTTGGCTTCCTGATTTCCCACAAAGACCAGTCACATTGCATAACTGTTTATATTATATATGAAGGAAATCTTTCAGAATAATCAGAGTAGGAGAAAGAAACATAATACTGATCTTCTCCTACCATTTATTTAGTATGTCTCTTACCAAGTCATTTAGTTCAYTCTCATTTCAGTTTCCTGAGCAATAATGTAATTATGATATAAGCTCAGCACCACAGAAGCCTCAGATGAGAAGCCTCATTAATGTCTCACAGTCTGTAGTAACAGTGTGCTACTGAGCAACATGGTGGTTTATATTGGCAGTAGTCAAATTTACCAAATCTTTGTCATTTCCATCACAGATAATGGYTCAAGAGCAGCAAAGAACAGCTGTGATTTTCCATGGCAAGAGAACCACATGGATTTCTCCTCCTAGCCTGAAGAAGCTGAGGGAATGGCTGTGCCTTTGAGGGGGAAAGTAAACCTGTTTTCTGTCAACAGAGATGATACGAGAAAGTACTTTCAAAGGGAATAGTAGATTAAATCACATTAAAAAGTACAAAGATGGAATTTCATTTAAGATGGAACAAAATAAATACAATTTCTAACAGGTCCTTTATTGGAATGAAACGGTGTTATAGTACAGATCCCTGTTACATGTAAGAAGGGCAAGCTCAAAAATAACCTTACTGTTTGTTAAAGCCTTTAGGAAGACACATTGTGAGCAGGGGATCATCCTGGGACCATGGAACCCAATCATAGCAGTTGGCACATCTGTCTTTTGGCATCAGAAGATAACCTTTGTCT